ATTATATATTATAATTAATATATAATCTCACTCTGTCACCCAGACTGGAGTGCAGTGGTGCGATCTTGGCTCACTGCAACCTTTGCCTCCCAGGTTCAAGGAATTCTTCTGCCTCAGCCTCCCAAGTAGCTGGGATTACAGATGCGTGCCACCATGCCCGGCTAATTTTTGTATTTTTAGTAGAGATGGGTTTTCACCATGTTGGCCAGGCTGATCTCGAATTCCTGACCTCAGGTAATCTGCCCATCTTGGCCTCCTAAAGTACTGGGATTACAGGTGTGAGCCACTGTGGCCAGCCTATTATTGTATATATTAAGAATCTAGACTAAGCAATGCTATATAGCATTGCTATTATGATTCATATCTTGGTTGAGTACCAAGCTTGAATTTTATCTACTTCTCCCTTTTGACCCAGGGTAATCTCCCAATTGTAGGTCTATTTTAAGGACTTATGTACCTAGCTGCATGACCCTAGATTATCTGGACACTGTGCTTCCATATGAAGACCTCTGTCTTCCCCACATCCTGCTACAAATGTTCCTGGCAGACACTGGCTATGACAGTGAGGAATGAGTAATATTTTGTTCCAAAGTTTATGTCTGCTGAGGAACAACAGTATCCTGGGCCCAGTCTGGTGGCCTCATTCCTGGAATAAGGTGAAACTAAGAGTGCCAAGCAAAGTAGCTGTCATATTCTTCCTTCATTCCCTCATTTCCCTTTCCTCATTTCCACTGGGAAACAATGATCCTCTATCTAGAAGAAAAGACAGTGCAGGATTCCTCTTCACAAAGGCTGACTGTGTGCTAGAAAGTCTTGTGTAGATAGAAAGTAAAGAAAAAAGTCATGAGTGTAACCCAGAGGATGAACTTCTGTTGTATCCATGGGGGTAAATTGGTTAGATGAATTGTTACAGTTTGAGTTCTATAATGACATAATATGGCCAAATTAAAAGCAACCCAAGAGAAACAAGTCAAAGGAAGGTTGAATTCTGATTGAGATCTTTAAACAGAGCATATACCACTTGTCTGTAAACTACAAAGTCCCCTCAGGGGCTTCAGTGGAAGTCAAGGGCATCAGGGTCTTACTTCTCAGTCCTCCGTGCCTGGAATAGTACTTGGCTTGTGGCAATAAACTGTTTCTGCTCGGCAGTCCTGGCTTCAAGCCTTCCACAGGGAGATTCCTTTTAATGCTCCAAATCCCTTCCAGGGCCACTGTCAATATTTTTTAAAGGAAGAAAATAATTATTAGCATATTCTCTTTTTAGCACAGTATTTTAAAGATTTTAATTGGTGATTTTTTTTATTTATTTGGGTGTGGGTTTATTTGGTTTGACTAATCAAACCACCCAAATCTTTATCATTTGTTTAATCTTTTATTCCATTTCATTCATTCAACTATTCTCTATGCAATTAAACTTCTACAGTGCTCTTAGATCATTTAACTTGCCCCTAAACAAACAGATAATAGAAATATCCATAACAAAACAGAGAAGGATCAGGAATAAATAACAGTTAATAAATAGAATTAATTTAGTCAACTTTATCTGATTCTGATTTAATTCCTACAGTAAGAGAAAATATTTCCAAAGATAATAGGACCAAAAATCACTACATTAATTCATCCAATAGTTAATTCATCCAATAGATCCAAGAATCCTCTAAAAGCCACAAACTAGATGCTGTCTAATCTCCCCTTGAAAAAGAGCAACAATAAACTCACTGGATCCTGCATTTTAAAAATCATTGCAAAATACCTGGAAAGTGATGTTTACCCATTGATAATTACAGTTCTTGGACCCTGATGCCTTTCAATAAGGTTTAGCAAAGATTGGCAGTTGGTTATCCTCCATATCCTAAAATCACCTGGTTACGTTTTGAGACTCAGCAAACAAGCACGTGGTGAATGTCCACTGTGTAGAAAACTGCAACCCAAGTCTAGTAAGTTGGTGAATTTGGGTGAGTTGCCGTAAGTTGTTTTTCCCATTTCTAAGGCTGCAAATATTAATGCCAAACATTCTTCATAGATCCAAGGCTGCCCACTGGCGTCCTCACCGATATTTGATCCCTCTCTAAAGGGTTCCATAGCAAGTAATTACTAGCAGCATAGTCTCTGGGTTCAGAGGAGATCTGGGTTTTGATCTTAGTTCTACCATCTATCAGTTGTTTGATTTTGAACAAGTTATGTAACCCACTATATCTTAATTTCCTCAATTTTGAAATAGGGATGATAATATCTACTTGAAGGATTATTGTAGGATTTAGATGAGATGGCTGTAAAGTGCTTTGTACTCAATAAATGATAGCTTTTTTTTTACAGGGAGAATGATTTTTACTATCCAAGCATGGACTAAGATTCCGTGACTGAAGGTACAGTCATTGAACTGACTTGCCAAACTGTATGTCAATACCTGCCTCTCCTTTTTTACTCCTGAGTGGAGAAGCTGAAGTTATCTGTCGAGATTAGTTTCTCTCTTCTTCAAAGACCTTCAAGGAAGATTCCACAATCTCCTTCTGTTTAAGACCTTAGAAAGTTAAAGCTGTACCTTCTATCTAACCTAAATCTTCCCCTGCCATGCAAACCAGTTTCCTCTTCTATCCTGTTCAGAGATACAAAAGGGCTGCTCCCGAACTGAAGGAGATAGAGACACAAACAACCCTTCAAAAAATTCATGAATCCAGGAGCTGGTTTTTTGGAAAGATCAACAAAATTGATAGACCACTAGAAAGACTAATAAAGAAGAAAAGAGAGAAGAATCAAATAGATGTAATAAAAAATGATAAAGGGGATATCACCACCAATCCCACAGAAATACAAACTACCATCAGAGAATACTATAAACACCTGTATGCAGATAAACTAGAAAATCTAGAAGAAATGAAACAGTGTGGTCATTCCTCAAGGATCTAGAACTAGCAATACCATTTGACCCAGCCACCCCATTACTGGGCATATACCCAAAGGATTATAAATAATGCTGCTATAAAGACACAAGCACACGTATGTTTATTGTGGCACTATTCACAATAGCAAAGACTTAGAACCAACCCAAATGTCCATCAATGATAGACTGGATTAAGAAAATGTGGCACATATACACCATGGAATACTATGCAGCCGTAAGAAAGGATGAGTTCATGTCCTTCATAGGGACATGGATGAAGCTGGAAACCATAATTCTGAGCAAACTATCACAAGGACAGAAAACCAAACACTGTATGTTCTCACTCATATGTGGGAACTGAACAATGAGAACACATGGACACAGGGTGGGGAACATCAAACACCAGGGCCTTCCAGGGGTAGGGGAAGAGGAGAGGGATAGCATTAGGAGACATACCTAATGTAAATGAGTTAACGGGCACAGCACACCAACATGGCACATGTATGCATATGTAACAAACCTGCATGTGTGCACATGTACCCTAGAACTCAAAGTAAAATAATAATAAAAAAAAAAAAAAAAAAGAAAAGGGCTGCTCCCCAGCCTCTGGATAATAAACTCTAAAACTTAGTAGCCCATGACATTTATTTAATACCCCCAGTGCATGATACCCTGTGGGAGACCAAGGAAATAGATTTGGACTTGTGGTTGACACTTTGTGAAGATCCAGTACGTGGAAAGCAGTATAAAATCAGGAAGCAGAACTGTGCAGACAAATCACATCAAATTAGATGGAAGAATTGTACTAGTTAAGTGTAAGTGTGCTCTTTCACATGCAATCACAAGAATGTCATAGAGAAAAACAGCTGAAATATAAATGCCGATGCCCAGAAATGCATTAGAAACTCTCAAAGCAAAATATGGTTATGCATAAATATTTGCTATATTCAGGGATAATGGTTGTGGGAAAAAAATAATAGCCCCTCATACATGTGAAGTGATGTTTGGGTGAAGAAGTTCCAGAAGGTGATATATTTGACTGGATAAAAGCGGGTCTAGAAAAAACCGTGGATGCTCTCTGAGGCAGCTGCTTCTTTTAAGAGAAACTTAACTCCCTCAGCTCAGGGCATGTGCATTCCAGAAGGAGGAAGGCAGACAAAGCCAGAAAGACTTCAAGTGTCGACTCCTCTCAACTGAAAAAGAAAAGGGCAGCAGGCACAAAGGGAGAAGCTAGAAGAAAAGAATCAAATCTGTTCTTGAGGCTCAGAATCCTCTAGAGATTCCTCTTCTCTCTTCCCTTCTCATGCTTCCAACACTTTCCACTCAGAAACCTTTATAGGTGTATTTTTATACTGAATTTTAAAATGACTAAAGCATGCCTTTATGCCCAAAATTTTAGCCAGTAGGACCTGGTCTGGTTCTACAGGGAACGTAAGCTCACACCTTAAAAATATTTGAGTTCCTTTCAGCTCTCTCTGGACTGTAAATAATGAACATAGGAGCTTGAAAAGCCAGTTTAGAGCCATATCATCTGTACTTCTCTTGTGCAAACAAGGTCAGAGATTTGACTAGAGAAAGAAAAACATAAGTACTTTTAATTTATGTCTGGCGACTCCTAGGCTCTATAATTGTCTCGACATGCCTTTGGTGTCTAGCAAATTCCTCCTATATTGTAGGTGCAGAAAACATTTTAATTGAATGAAATAACAAATAACTCGTGTCTAGTAAATTCCTCCTATATTGTAGGTGCAGAAAACATTTTAATTGAATGAAATAATGAAATATATCCACACTTGCTTGGCAACATTTTGCACTTTCTAAGCTTGTACTTAATGTAGTAAATAAACTAGATTCAAAATTAAGTTTCCATGTATTAAGGCACATGTAGAACTCATTAATGTATTTGGCAATATACTTCTGAAATTCATTGGAAAAGGAAGTGTTATGTAAGGGGAAAATTAATAAGTTTATTAATCAAATTTTTCATGACTACTATAACCTTTGTAGGTTTTAGCCAGAAAAATACAAAAGCCCTTGCAACTTGCAAACATTAAATTAATACATCACTTTATTTCTGCAAAGTCCTTTATAGAATAGAAATGCAGAAATAGTTTTAAAATAAACAATACAATAAATGTACTAGTTCCATAATGAATGTCTCACAAGCCTACATTTTTCTTTTCTTTCTTTCTTTCTTTTTTTTTTTCTTGAGACAGAGTCTTGCTCTGTTGTCCAAGCTGAAGTGCAGTGGTGAGATCTCAGCTCACTGCAACATTCGCCTCCTGGGTTCAAGCAATTATCCTGCCTCAGCCTGGAGAGTAGCTGGGACCACAGGCGCACGCTACCAGGCCTGGCTAATTTTTGTATTTTTAGTAGAGACAAGGTTTCACCATGTTGCCTGGGCTGGTTTCGAACTCCTGACCTCATGTGATCAGCCCACCTTGGCCTCCCAAAGTGTTGGGATTACAGGCATGAGCCACTGCACTCAGCCAATTCTACATTTTTGTTTTTGAAAAGTTGTAAGGAAAGGAAAATCTTCAGGAAATCACTGAGAATATATGAATGATGGACATTAGCTAAATTCTTCCTTATCCAGAAAGTTCTATAAGTTGCCCAAATTCCATTTTATCTGATTAAAAGATCTGATGAGAAAATTACACTCCTTTTTTTTTTTTTTTTCAGTATGAGGTTAACCTTTTCAAGTAGACCCAGGTTCTTTGTCCTTATCTGATAGGAATGTGGAAAGCCTCTGAAACCCGTTTTACCTCAAATTTGAACCTGGAGGCTAAACTGAAACTGAACTTAGAGAAAACTAGCAACATTTCTCTTTTTTTAACTGAATAGAACACTATTTGCTACTAAATCAATTTCAAATCTCTGTTCCTCTCCGAAGGCATAATCTTATGTTTTAAAGAGAGATGGAAGAACCCAATGACTAAGAGCAAGAACATTAGCTTCTGACAAATCTGCATCCAGGTATCAGTGATTGGACAAGTCACCCCCTGAGCCTCAGCTTCAAGTTCTTCAAAATGTGAATTAAAAGAGCATATATCTCACTGGTTATTGCAAGAATTAAAAGAGATTATTTGCAAAAAAATGTATCATGTGCAGAAGAAACTCTGCAAATGATAACCATTATCACTATTATTATCACCATAATTCCCAACATCAACATCATCATATAAAAAGACATCCCTAACTCTCACCCTGGCATCCAGTGCTTCTAACTCAGCCCATGTATCGCTGCATCAAGAGCCTACAAGGAATCAAAAGTCCACAGAAGGGAGGACAAGAGGCCTGTCAGCCCATTGTTTCTATTGTCACTAATGG